CGATACGATACGAAGAGCGCCAGCCACCGGCAAACTTTGTGAAAAGGACTTGTAAAATCAAAAGCCGATTAGATTCCATTTCAATGAGCAGCCAGCTGGTTGGTCATTTCACTCGGCGTGCAGTATGTACTTCAAAGGGCCGGGAAGGTTCTGTTTCTGGTACTGGTTTTGATTCTGATTCGGATTCTGACTCTCGCACCCACGCAGTCTGGCAGCCTGGGAGTGCATATGAAGTACGAGTCGGGAATTGGACTCCATATTATTGCTGTTTGGTCCACACTAAAACACGAAATCCGAACCTGAAAACGGCTTCACGAAAATATAGACGCCCGCAACGTTGCCATGGTATTGATGGCAACAGGGATTTTAAGGGGACCACATTTCTGACAATGCGGGGAAAGTGCATCGGCTTATATGCATATCTACCCGAGCACTTGATTAGTCCTCAAATTAAACTAAGCAACGGGCTTTGCCAAAAGGCTCACGGGCCTGAAAACCGAGCTGAATACTGCCATAAATTGAGTTTCAGTGATTTGTGTGGAATAACCGGGTATTGGAATGGCGGGAATGCAACTGAAGTGTCGGTATTCAGTAATTATTGAGGTGCAAAACTCTGTGATTAGCACTGAAATGGCAGTCTAGGAAACAAACGTAGTTACAAAAAAATTCTTCAAGTTGAAATGAATCTGTAAAGTATGTTTTTAGAATTGTAATCCGTGGTTTTTGTTTAATTATTTGTGTATTTCTAAAAGTTATATTTCCACTGTCTACCGTACGTATAGATCAATTGATTAAAACTATAAGCCCATTGTCACATTCAAAAGGTATTTGAAATGTTCCTTGTCTATTATTATAAATCAATCTAATAGTTGAGAAGTCCTGCTCGACTAATTGATGAGCTCTTCTCCTTTACTGTGTGAAAAACTGAATTGATTGAAACTTTGATTTGATTTCCACCTTTAAGAGTCCTTCTTTCAAGCAACTGCGGAATTTGCCACTCAGAAATCACATAATTGCTCTCTGGCCTGCTCCGAGCCACCTCTTTGGCTATTATCCCTGCCCTCGGTTCCGCCTTCGTCGACATCAACGTCATGGTCTCGATAGCCTGCCATCCATTCACTTTTCCTCTTTTATCTCTTTGTGCCGGGACTCACATGACGCCCCTCCTCAAATCATCTGCAATGCTCAGTCATGTATGCACTGCCAACTGATTTGAGCCGGAGTTAGAGGTCCCGATGGTAGAATCATCGAAGGTGGCCAAACTCCTTGGACCCCTCCACCTCCTCTATTTGGTTTAATCAGTGTAGTCGAGCGGCTAGCTAATCGTTTATGATTTAGTTTTGATTTGTTCGCCGAAATAACCATAAATCGGATGAAGCACCAGGACAGCAGATACTCCCAGTTATAATCCTCCAGTCCAGATTTCTATATATGGTCGTATGTAGATATAGTGGGAATGCTGCCACCACATGGGAAGCCCAGTGAAACCGCTGCTCTGTGTGTTTTCGACTATAAAATTAAATTGCGATGTGGTGGAAAAGTTAGAGCAATGCCCAGTGCAACAAACACAACAGCAACAACAAACTGTTCCTTACTGCCCCACATTTGGTCAACACACACTCACTCAGCGGCGTACAGATAGGGGTTAGAAATGGGGTTTGGGGGTTGAAAAAAAAAAGTGCAGCAGTGAACAATTGTTCAGTGCATATCATTTGGTTAAAAGGATTCGTTTTACTCTTCCGTGTGGTCCGGACTCCAGTTACCGCCCCAAACAGTTGGAGTGTATGTACGTTTGTGTGTGTGTGTGTGTGTGCTAGTGTGTACAAATCAACTAATCTGCTCCCCACGGCAAAGTTACGAGAAGACCGACAATTATATCCGCTCTCTGCTCACAATTTTTGCATGTCGTAAAGTTTCTAGTGGTGCACAGCTCCAATTCACTCTGCTCCCTTATAGCCCCTACCTTCCCCTTGTTTCCCTACCATATATATGTAGTTTGTATGTATATCTGTCTGTAGTTTGGCCCTAACCGACTCTCGAAACGGAACTGAAATAGCAACTAACACACGTTAGCTGAATTTTTTGAATGCCCTTTCCCGGTTTTATTTTCCGTTTGGGGAAAAGGCCAGGGTATTCGTTGTGACGCAGAAAACAAATGGATTGATGTCCCCTGAGTGACAAGAAAGAAATGCAGTAGAAGTTCTACGACTCGCAATCTCTTTAAGCCATCGCATATTTGGGGAGAATGTATGGAAAAGAGCCCTTTGGAAAGATCCTTGAAGTGCTTAAGTTCAATGAACTTATTGGTTATATTAAGAACAAAATTTAAGAAATGTATTCAATAAATAACTTTCTGTGATCCTTTGAGTTAAGTTAATACATTTTCTTTCAGATATTTAAACCATTTTTGTTCTTCCGAAGAGCATTTAAATTTCGCCAGTTGCATTTAATTTTGAGCATTTGCAATGCTGTTGCATACTTTCAGGAGCATTGAGCTGCACAGCACGTGGATGTGTATCTTCGCCAGTGCACTGGAGTGTCTGTCTGTGTGTCTGCATCCGTGTCTGTGTATCCTTGCTGGCAGGACTGTTGTGCCGAGTGTGAATCTGCCCTGGCATTACTGTTTGTATTGCAAAAGTTGTTGTAACTTCGTTAAAATAAGCACTCTGTTAGTTTGCCCGCTGGCGCGACGGGAAGCGTCCCCTTTTTCCTTTTCCCAGTCCGTTCTCCACAACACCTCTTTTCCTGAAATTGGTGGATAGAACTTGTCTATGTATGTATTAGTGCGAGTGTGTGTGTGTGTGTTTGGAAGGAGGGGCAATGCAGCAGATTTGTCGGCGGTTTTTGCCATTACTGCTATGCCGGCTAGTCCTGCTAGCCACTCTGGCCCCGTAGTCTTTTCGCCTCTCACGATTCCCTGATAGTTGGCATATCTGCATTAGTAATGGTGAGTGGCGGCGAGTGCCAGGCAAATTGGGTGGATTTGGATTTACCTGCTCGTCGCCGGCTTTGACAGCCAAGTGTGCTCCGCTCAGCAGCAATCCAAACCTTACCCTTTTGGTTCCCCTCTGCAGATAAAACCCCCTTCGACATCACATTTTACCCCAATGTGTGGCAACATGCCTGCGAGGTAAACTTAACGTTTAGTTTTTCGGGCGTCTGCTCCTTGGTGGCTATTAAATTGCTGCAACTCCTAATGGCGCCCCCCAAGCAGCTTACTTCCTTTCACTTTCGCCTGAGATGTGGCTGAAACCATATCGATACTTGTTAGCTGAGGTGCAGGTAAAAACAGTAAGTAGCAGTATGTTCTACGAACTGCAGTATGTGCAAGAACACTGAGGTCAAATATGCGAGGAGCTAAAGTCAATTTAGAAAACTGGTTATGTTCATAAATTTATCAGTATTGAAATAACTTTCCCATTAAAGTCTAAAATAAGCAAATAAAAATCATTAATAATAGTTGTTGTTCATAAATTCAATAGATTATTTTAACTAACTTTTGGTAAAACATTTTCATCAGTGCAGCAATTTTTAATAGCAGGTGCAGTTTGTGCTGCAACTGCAGTGCAATCCCCACCGACAACTTGTACTTAGTGCCGCTTCCTTCCGCCCAACACAAAAAATGGCAAGGGGAAAACTGCAAAAGGCGACCGGAGGAAAGCCAAGAGGTGGAGGAGGGCATGAGGGAAAGAGGAGAATTTTGTATACCATGGCAAACGGGCAAACAGCTCGTCGGCAGGACTGTCTGAAATGCAATTAAGTCGCATCGACATGCAATCTCCGGCATGGGGAGACCGGGCCGCATAAAGGACTTCGCAGGAACAACAAGTACAACCACACGGACCCACCATTCGCGGCCAAAAAGGAAACGGGCGATGGGAAAAGCCTTAAAAGCGCTGAAAGGTTTCAGTTATCCCCTAAAAAAAAACACACGCACTCGAACAAGAAGGAACACCACACACGAGCTGAAAAGGGAATCCGGCTTGACGAGCCTGAAAATACCCTCAAAGGAGCATCAGTGGTCGGGATTATTGATAGGGCAGATTCTCGGACGGTGTTAATATGCACCTTGAGCTATGGGAGGAGCTATTTACATATGTGATTGATTTTATGGATGTAAAAAGTTGAACAATTTATCTCTTTTCTCTGTGAAAAATAACATAAGAGCTATACATAATAGAAGAAAATGTAGAACTATCTTTAATAACATTTTAATTGCCAAAACCTAGTCTGAGATCCTGTAAATAACATCAAGTTTGTTGAAAACTTACATAAGTATGTTTACCTTCTGGTTTTTAAGACTTTGTTACCATCCTTAAACATAAGAAGAATGAATTGAGATTAAAGAGTATACATAAATTGGATCACATCCCGTTCACAAAGTCATTCCATCGGGGGTGGCAAACAAGATCTCGTTGCAATGGAATGCACTCATTGAAACACTTTTGAGCGCCGATAATCCAATTATGGCCTGACCAGGGGTTCTTCCTCCGAACCTCCGCCTTCCTCCTGTTGGTCCTTGTAAATTTGCTCCTCGTTTCCTCGCTTCACGTGCTGGTTTTTATGGGAGACAGTAGGGTAAAGTGCTACAAGTTGGAGGGCGAGAGTCGTGCCACCTGGGGCAACCGCGTCTCCCGCACATAATTTGCCGCAACTTATTTTGCCCCGAGTCAAGTTTCACACTAAAATGTGTAAAAGGGTCAACAGCTGCAGGGCAGTCGTATCCGGAGTTGTAGTTGGAGTTGGAGCTGCCGATGGAGAAAGCAGAGCACTAGTCCTTATTGGGGGCTAATCTCTGGGGTCTCCGGCTGATAGGGGTTTCAACAGAGAATATTAAAAACATTGCCAGAGGTGAACTTTTCAATGACCAAATCGAAAACTAAAACGGAAACAGAAACTGGAAACCAATTCCCATCATCGTCAAACACAAAGGGTTAATATTTCTAGCATTTTTATATTTATTTCATATTCAATTTTCTGTATCGATATTCATTTTCATTTTCAGTTTTTTATTCACTACTTTAACTTCTTCTTTTTTATTTAAATTTCGTATTTTTTAGCCGCTGTGTATTAAATGAAAAAATAATTGGAAATAAACGCTGGCTTGAATAAACATAATGAACATTCCAGTCCGTTTGCTATATATGTACAATATTATTTGATATAAATTCCATTTGGGGTTTTATTTTCGATTTCGGTAGTGGGACTTTGGGTAGAATACCAAAATAATGGTTAGGTGAAAAAAAGATTGCAATACCAGCAGCTTTTTCAGAATGTTTGCTTTGCCATAATTCATTTGTTCACTTTGTCTCATTCAATAGTTTATTTATCAATATCATTATTATTATTATTTTACTTGTGCATTTTGCATCATCGTCGTGTAAACAACTACAATTAGTATCACGATTGTCATGGTTGTAATCCAAATAAAATGAAAAGGTTGAAATAAAAAAATCACTGAAATGGTGAGTAATGAACGAAAAAAAAACAAAGATACGTTTTTATTTTGTAATTTATTCCTCTCAGTTAAATTGCTTGGAGTTGTGTGTATGTTTGTATGTGACACGATTATGCTTTTCATTATTTTACCATTATTATTATTTTCCTTTTTTTTTTGCCAAACTGATATGTACTTATATATGTCTGCGTGTGTGTTGTTAAAATTTGACTGCCCGCAATTTTTTGCAAACCACTTTCTAGTTTTGCTGTTAGTTGTGCAATGTCCGCTACTCTTGTTTAAAAAACAATTAATAATTGCTATCCAATAATTGTTCATATTATTAGTAAATACCATTTTATATATATATATATTTCTCGGTTTATCTAAGTGTGTATTTAAATTTATATTTATATTTAATGTACTTATTGGCCTTGTCTAAGTTTTAAATTATAGGCAAATAAAACTAGACTTCATATTATTAGTTTGGTTTGCAAAATTGTTTTTAAAAATAGTTATGTAACTATTATTAACAACTTATGGTCCTAGGTTGATCTATGGAGATGCAAAACTGTTTATTAACTAGGCTCTAAGTGTGTGAGTGTGTGTTAGGAATCATCATATGTTCGCTGGTGTGTGTATATGAATCTGTGTACGTAATCAATTGCATTAATTACCTTAAATCTTGGCCAAGACACAAAGTCATGCATTGGGCGACAGGAGGAGGAATCAGGGTAGTATTCGTATAAAGAAGTTTCGGTTTTAGAGAACTTTTTGCTGGAAGTTAATGAGCGGAAGAAATTACTTTTGTTGATGAGCTCAATGAAAATCATAGTCAGTAGTTTGGAAGAAACTTATACTCGTATGTATGTCGGAGTAAAAAATCAGCCCAGCACATGACTTGTTTCTACTACTTATAAATGTACTTTGTTCGTATGTATATAAAACTTATCAATTACGAGTGGACATAAACCGATTTGCTTGTCTTTAAATTATCTGTATCTTTATTGTTACGGGGCTGCCTCTCACAATTAGCTAAATCCCAAAAATTCGTAGCTACCGATTAGTTTATATATATTTATATATGTACATATCATACAGTTGAATATCTTCAGCAGTTTGCCACAGAAGCGGAGTCAGTTAGGAAGGCCACCTCCTCCGGTCCGATGTAGTTAAAACTTACTTTGCCGGCAACTAAAGCCAACATCAGAGAGTCATGGTGGTCATCACAATGGGTGTCAACAGGGCCATCGCGAAGGATAACAGGAATATTCGCTGGCCAGAACTGCTCAACGCACTCGCCTGGCAGAGCAGATCCTCTGGAAAGATCTCCAAGATGGGCAGGTGCCGACCTGATGTCGGATCGTGGCAGGTGTTGGCACGGGCTCGCTGAGGAAATTCGAAATGAATCTCATTACCAATTGATAACATGATTTTTAATTAAATTCACTTCGATTGTCCGAAGTTTGGACATCATTGCAAAGTTTAATTGTTTTATTTAGCATGAAAATAAATGTGTGTAATCTGTAAGTGTTTGGTTAATAATTGACCAATCATAGGAAACAATGGTAGCTCTTTACTCATTGTATTGTATTATTGTATTAAATAATTTCAAAAGCAAGAACAAACAGTGAAAAGCTAACAAAAAGAGTAATTATTGTTTACATAAAAAAATATTTAATCTGGAAAGGTAATTAAGGAATTAATCTTAAATTCAGAATAAATATTTTTTTTTTTTTGTAATATCTGAATGTAAGGTTTGATAGGCCATTTATTAGTATTACTTTTTTCTTTGCAAAAATATCTTTAAAAAATAGGATAATAACATATAAAAGCTTACGCGCATATCGGCAATCGATAGGGGTAACTTTTGGTCAAAAATCAAGATTTACAGAAGGTTAAAATGAATATTTAACAGGGAAGAAAAGGGAGTGGCTTGACTCACCTGAACCATGCGCTTGAGGTCGTCCTTCTGGATAACCTTGATCTGGGCAGACTCCCTTAGCCATCGTCGCAGCCAGTGACCGAACCAGACCAGTCCGCACTCACATTCCAGGGGATTGTGAGAGGTAATGAGTCCACCCATAATGCTCCGAGTTCCCACGGCATCCCAGTAGCTCTTGTTGGGATAAAAACTGTCGGCGGCCAGGGCGTTGATGCGATTGTGCGAGATGTCGATGGACAGGTGAGGCACCTCTCGCAGGGCATAGAAAATGCCAGGGGGAAGGTCGGAGATGCGGGTGTGCGAGATCTTCACCTGTAATCGCTGGTTGCGCGACAGTCCGGTGAAGACATCGGGAGCTATGGTCTGAACGTTGCTACCATACAGCTCAAGCAGTCGGATTTTCGTGTTATTGGCCAACTTGGCAAAGAGCTGTGGACCAATATTCGGCTCCAGGCAGTGGACCTTCAGTTGTTGCAGCCCTGGTATCCTGGCCACAATCTCACCCAGATTTGCATGCGAACTGGCATGTAGCTTTCTCAGTGAGCGCAGCTTAGAGAATGCCTGTGGATTGGCCACCTTCACGTCAAGGATATTCAGTTCGGCTAGGTGTCGCAAACTGGCCAGATCGTGCAGTGTTATCCTGCGCAATGGGTTGTGGGCCAAATCCAATACGCGAACCGAGGGCGGTAAGTGCTCCGCCGCACAACTGGCATTCGTAAGTTTATTGTGCGAGACATTGACGTGACGCAGGTGACGTAGGGATCCCAGTGGGGACAGTTCCTGTAGATAGTTTCCACTCACGTCGAGGTAAGAGAGAAGGGGCAGTTTCAGTGGCGGCAGGACATACAGTCCCATGTGGTGAAGGCTCAGTTTCCGCAGTCGCGGCGTGTGTACAAACACCTCCCGCAGGTTGGTCGTCACCAGGGGATTCTGTGACAGATCCAGGTTGGTCAGATTGTTCAGAAAACTGAATGTATTGTCCGGGAGAATGGTGATGCGGTTACGGGCCAAACTGATGTCGTACAGGAACTGCGAGTTGATGAACATCGAGGCATCCAAGTACTCAAGATTGTTGTGGGACATCTGGATGGAGCGAAGAGTAAATCCGATGTCCGTAAAGGCCGGAACTGGCCAGACGCTCAACTGATTGTCGGCTATGTCCAGGAATTCCAGTCGTGTATTCACAAAGACTTCTCGCGGCAGAGCCCTCAATCGATTTGCGTTGATCCGCAAGATCCGCAGTTTCCTTAGGTTTGAGAACTGTTCCACCTGCAGCTGATCCAACTGGTTGTGACTAAGATCTAGTTCTTGCAAACTATTCAAGCCCTGAAAACTGCGACGCCTTAGCGAGGTGAGATTATTGTGGGCTACATTTAGGATCTCCAGGAACTCTAGGTCTCCGAAGGCATGGCTCTGAAGAGTTCCCAGCTGGTTGTGGGCCAAGTTAAGAAACCGCAGCGTGTTCGCCAGGTTGGTAAAGCTATCCGACTTGACCACATGATTGTGACTGATGTCCAGCTGGTAAATGTACATGTAGCTGCTCAGCTCGTCATAAAAGGTTGATATGTGATTGTGACTAACATTGAGTCGCAATGGCGTGGTAGTATTGGAGACATAGAGAAATGACTTTAAGGACAATGAACACAGCTGATTGTGCATGAGATCCAGAGCAGCCAGATTGGGCAGAACCGTAAAGGCGCCGTGCGAGATGTTGACCAGACGATTATGAGACAAATCCAAGTAGCGTAGGAACTCGAGGTTCTGAAAAGCATGGCGTGCTATGGTCCTCAAGCGGTTCGATTGCAGATTAAGTGTCTGCAAATCCCCAAGGCTATGAAACGTCTGCGCTTCCAGCCGCTCCAAGGCGTTGTAGGACAAATCAATTTCCACCAGATGGCTATGGACATCGGACTGAAAGAGTCCGCGGGGCAGTGCCTTCAGCTGGTTAAAGCTTAGATTAATGTAGCTCAACTCCTTCATCTGTGCGAAGGATTCATTCGTGATTTGCTTTAGGTTATTGTTGTCCAGACCCAGCCAAATGAGCTGGGAAAGCGGTAGTAGGGCATCTAATGGGTCCAAGCTCTCCAGACTTCTTGCCTGGAAAAACTGCGAAGGAGAGTTCCAGAATCTTAAGGCTTCTCGAAACATTTTCAAATACAAGTGGATGATGTATGGTTATATCGTTAAAGCTCAAACTAATCTCCTGAATCTGCTCCAATCCTGCGAAGGAACCCAAATGTAGATGGGTTATCTTATTATTCCGCAGCAGAATTGTCTGCAGATTGCTTCCCCAGGAATCCACAGCAAAAATACCTTCGGGGATATCTGAAATGCAGTTGTAACCCATGTTTAAATACGAAAGTTGTGTGTAGTTTTTCAGGCCGAGAACTGGAATCATGGTGAAGTTATTGCCACTCAGACTAAGCACACGAAGATTTTCCGTGAACGATGGCAGATTACTCAGCTGGCTAATCTGATTGGAGGTCAGGTAGAGGTACTTCAGGCGATGCAGCGAAGATAAAGCCACTGGTACTGTAGTAAGTCGATTTCTCTCCAAGTCTAGATACTCCAGGGTATCGGTTAAGCCCTCAAAGGCCGATGGATGTACGCGACTAATAGCATTGAAGGCCAGCACCAGATGGGCTATGCCCGTGGCCTTAAAAACGGCCTCGGGCAGCTGAGTCACAAAGTTCTGTTCTAGATTTAAGGCCCTTAAGTGAACATCCGAATAGTTTTGTTGGAAATAGTCGGATTCCAGGCTTTCAATGCAATTCTGTCCTAAATCCAAGCGTTCAAGGTGCATTCGCAGTGGCCTCACTTGCAGTTCTTTCCACTGTACATTCCGAATTAGGTTATCCCTTAAACTTACGATCCGTAACTCAGGAAGTTGTTCAAAGAGTTGCTGAGGAAAGACTGTTAGGAGATTGCTAGACAAGTCCATTGTTACTAGTGATTTCGGTAGATAGTTCCCGGCAACGTGGTAGATACGGTTGTTGGAAAGGTCCAGCCAGAGTAGTTTTTGGAGCTGTTCGAAAGGACGACCTCCTGTTGTCCGGTCTCCGTAACTAGGAGATGGTGGATAAAGAGAATTACTCGTTTCCAATCTCGTCTGGATAGCGGCCAAGCTTGAGGGCTGTGAACTATTGTCACTCTGGGAAACCACTTCTATTGATCCACCTCCCGGCGCCACTTCCGTGATATCGTTGTCGGACATGTGCAAGGAGCGAAGGGTATCATGTTGGGAGTCCCAATTACCATCCAAAGTGGTTATGTGGTTGCTGGTGAAGAAAAATATTTATCGAATTAAGTATCTAAAAGCCCTCTAGATTTGTTATGTATATGAAATTTGAGTATCATCCGTCGTTTAATGCAAAGTGTACTTTCAAGTTGAAAGTATCTTTTCCTGTACTTAGACTAAGGTAAGCTTGGAACTTTTGATTTTGAGACTTACCGCTGTGCCACCAGTCGTGAGAGGGAGTGTAATCGCTGCAGTGCATCCAGTGGCAAGTGCTGCATCTTGTTGCCAGATATATCCAATGTCATAAGCGAGTGTGCCATCGTGCTGCAAAGAGTGTTGACAAATGAGAACGATGAGGATGACGAGGGCATCTCTCCTATATAAATATTTTCTAAATCATTCCACACGAACTGCAGGGGGGACTAGTTATCAAAAATATATAATAGCTAAAACTTTCACTAAAACTTTTGTTCACAACTATCAACAGTTTCCGCTTGGGTCTGCCCCATCTCCTCATCAACATCCCATCCCCGTTCCCATGGCTCATATAAATTGACGTGCTGCCTGCCTTTTGACATATCCTACACACAAGTCGGAAAACAAATATTTAAACTTAATTAACGCGTAGCAACGGCGACCCAGGCGACCCCAGCTGCCTTACCCTCCTATTTCCGACCCCCCTCCCTCCATCATTTCCACACTCATGTATAGCTCCACTACACTTCCTCTCTGGGCCCCATTAATAGTTATACACACGCACCGCAAACTCGCACAAACACACATATGTTTGTGCATAGGAGTGGACCAAACCGGAATTTAAAGTTTATTATGTTTTTATAAGGCTCTTTTAGTGCCTATAAGGTAGGCTGGAACAAAAAACTTTTTTCATATGGCTTTTCAAGATGGTTATAAACTTTGTCACGCATACGCACTATTTAGAAACTTTATTTATAAACAGTTGTTGCAGTCTGGACCTAGTCAACCTAAAAAATGTATTAAAATTCTGCCGTATAACTTATTTGAAATTTAAAATTTGAAGTCTGACGATTTGATTGGAATACGTGTCGTATGAGTAATATTTGGCATAACTCATACGCAGGGTAGACACATTTATGCAAAGGAAATGAATAACTGAAAAGATTATTTTTACCTATATAAAAAAGCATTTCAGTGAGAGTTAAAATCTGACACCAAAATAGTGATAAATTTTGTATAACATCTCTACCAAGGTTCACCCTTATTTTCAAAGCTGGAAACTGCAAAGAGAAAACCAAACAGAGTTCGGGGAAACAGCGACCTCAATTATGAAAACCACGAGGTTTTCCAAACAAGTTTCAGCCTCCTTAACAACTAGTGCAGCGGCATCCTTTTGTAGTCCTTGGTGTTGTTGGTTTTACTGTTGTTGTTGTTCAGGGCTTGTTGTTTATGCGACGAAGAATCAAACGCAAAACCAAATTTTTGCGGCTCCTTTTTAACCACTTCAGCTCTCTCTACTTTTCTTGTATGCCCTTTCTCTTTGTTTTCCGGCGTTCTTTTACCATTTGCCGGTTGCTGTTATCCTGGCTTTCCTTGCGGGCGACATTAAAAGTTGCGTGCGTGCGTGATTCGGTGTGCGCGAGCGTGTTTGTCGTCAAAAGACTCCTAAATAACTATTGGTAACGATTTGGGCCTATAGTTGACACCCGAGGGTTGCACAATCAGTACTTTACTCAAGAGAGATTAAGGTAATTGAAGTACAGTTTTAAAATATTTTCCCTGATTTCGGCTTTTGTAATTGATTCTGTTTATTAGATTAATAAACTTGTTTTGTTTAAAGTAATTCCTTATAAAGTTGTTAATAGTATTCATAAATACGATGTTTTTTCATAAATTAAATAAAATTGCATATTATTTAAAGCAGAATTTAAAGTCTTTATATAAAAATATTTCTTTAGCTTCTCCTATCCAAGTTAATTTCTTTACTTTCAACATTTTCTGAATACCCCCTCAGTGGCATGTCACTCTGTTATGTACACATATGTACCGTATACATGGAATACCGGAGAAGTGCCCATTTATCGGCACTTTGCAACTGAACACGCAACAAAAACGTAACCCAGGACAGCACAACAAACCAATCCATAAACAGACCCACACAGTGGTTAGTGGTGAATGTGTGTGTGTTTAATTTAGCAATGTAGCACTGTAAATTATTAATTAGCAATTTTTGAAATACATAAGTGCTTAAATATTGATGAGAACTTTTACATATGGCATCATAGTCCGCAACCGAAATGAAATCAAGTCTGCTCTTGAGTGCTTCTTTGTGGGTATTATAAAGGTACATAAATGTTTGTATATATAGTAAGAACTTCGAAATACATGTATGTACGTCTATATATATTATATATACAAGCGAATGAAACTTGAGCTGACCTCACAAGCGGTCAAGAGCGGGTAACTGTTCAGAGGGATTGTTTAAAGTCAAGCAAAGTAAATAAAATGGAGGGTTGCATGTATATCTTTAGAGAATAAAGCAATATTACATAATAATAGTTTAAGAATGAAGATTGAATTAATAAAGAGCCATTAAAATTTTCCACTTTCATACACACAAATAACCTTAAACTTGTTCCAGATAAGTCCTTTTACTTTCAATGGAAAACATCTTAATTAAGCCACTTAAAAGAATATTTATAAGCACAGCCCGCTTAAATATATGCATTTTTTTCTATCTACTTTAGATTCATCCAGTGGCATTTCCATTTCCCCCATCAACTTTACTTCTAATTGACATCGAGGCAGAAGTATATTATAGAGGAAACACATATAGAAAAGGAAGCAGGCTGAGATCGTAGGTGGAGTGAAGGTAGGACCTTAACCACATTTGCCAGCCTTATGAGCATTAATTAGTTTGATTTAAATTCTTAATGCCGTCGGAGTGTGTAACTGTGTCTTTGACTGACTCGCCCCTTGAACTCTCACACTCTCTCTTTCTCCGCCGGAAAACTGCACACAGCCGTTAAATGTGGGCATCCATTTAACTTTAGCAGCTTAATGTGTGTGCGGGTGGGCGGTCGCCTGCGGTTAAGGGGCGTGACCCCAACTCTGGTTATCCTTTGTGCTCGTTAAAAAATTTTCGCGTTTCATTTCATGGCAACAAAAAGCGTATAAGATGAAGAGCAGAGAACAGTAAAAAAACCAAAAAAGGCCGGCAAATGCGGTCGACTCTTTCCCACGATCTCTCTTTCTCGCTGCCTTTCTCTTATACACACAAAATAACGTGGCCAAAAGGGGAGGTTAACGGGAAGTTGCAGCCTCAGTCAAATGTGTGATGTGTAATGTGAACTGAATCACAAAATGCTGACGAAATAAGAGCTTGTATTCACTGTACCACAGTCAGCACAACAAGCACATTTTCCATCACGTATGTGTGTTAACTTTTTCGCTATTTTCCTTGTTACACTTTCCATGGGCCTTATAAATTGGTAATCAATTTTGGAACTATCTTGTTAAATATATTTTTTAGTGTCTTTATGATACATTTGATTTAGAAATATCAAGGTCATAGCCCTCAGATAGTCATAGGTATTATTTTCCAAGATAATCTACCCTTCCCGCTTAGAGCATTTGTTTGTTCGGTTTTAGCCCTTAACATGCCGGTTTTCCCCTCCTCCAGCGTTCTTTTTCTCTTTTTGTGATTATTTACACTCAAACAAATAGCGCTTGAAAGTTTTTCATTTTCTCTGCATTTTTTGCTTTTTCCGCTGCGTGTGTGAGTTTGCATTTTCCGCTTGCATTTTCAGCCTGAGTGCCCCGCTGAAAACGCGACGTTACCACCCCTCCTCGCTTTGTTAAACTTAATTTTACGCCTTTTTTACAACTTGCAGGTTTATGTTGTAAAAATATACAAAGCACTCTCCACCGGCAGACACACACGCATGCATACACTCTCACGCGCCCAGGTGAAAAAAGGGGTCATGTAAATAGGCCGGCCGCCCTCCCGGCCAACTGTCCTGTCATCATTCCTCTTGGCAGGTATGTGTTTGGGTCACCATATCCCATCGTGACTCACCACTTCCCCCACTGAGCACTAACTCACCTGAAACTCCTCTCGGATATATCCTGCAGTTCGTTGTCGATTAGCTTCAGTGTCTTGAGACGCAGTCCCTGGAATGTCTCATCGTCGACACTTTGCAGGTGAGTGTTGGACATTTCGATGTAGCGCACACTGCTGTGCATGAACTCTGCGGAATAATAAAGACATGAAAAATGTTACGGCATTTAAAATGGACATTTTACAAGGAAAATGTTTTTGTATTTCCTAGGAAAACAATAAAACTCAATAAATATATAAAATTTAACAGACAATCAAGAAAGAAAGGTATATTCCAAAAAGATCTCTAAAAAACAAAATGAAATAAAATAAATTATTAAATATAATTATGGTCTGAGTGAACGACAAAGATTGCATATAGATAGAGATTCTTTAAAATACATTTTCTACTGAGATCCTTCGTTTGCTTTTCAAGCACTTCTGCGTATGTTGCTGGGATATTGGCTTGATATTGAATGTACTCGTGCATCCGAGTCGCTCCACAAAGTGAGACCATCCGACGCCATGGTGGCCATCAGTTCATCATTCAAATTGATTTTAAACGGCATTCAAAGCGTTTACCATAAACGAGGGAATATGCCCGGACCATCGTCAATTCCCTATGCCGCCCGATACATAGATGTCTCTTTCTCTCTTTTTCTCCGCGTCTAACGATGATGGCTTTTGTTTTGGCAGTTTTGATCGCCGGCGCGTTAAGGCAAATGGGTCATCAGCGTGCCGTCATACAATGGACCCACCGAACCGACGGACCAGAGGACCAAGTCCATAGTCCACGGCCCAAAACCAGACTTCCCCGATGACTCGGGAGCCACGCGCTTCCCATTTTTGTGCGCGTTTTCCGGTTGGGCCAGAGGCCCAGGATCCGGGCATCGCCTGCAGGAAAGGAAGCGACTCACCAGCGACCAAAAAAGGCAACAAATTACATTTTATGGCTGTGCCAAAGACAGGACAGTGACATCTTGGCCGAGTATAACAATGAATCGCAACGTACTCGATTTGCTCGATTTTTATGAAATTTTTTATGGGACCAATGGCCAAATCGATTAGGGAGTTAACCAAAATATGTTTAACTCCACATACGAGTAAGTCCACAATCCGATTAAATAATATGCATTTTTAAGAGTTTGTTTTAAATAAAAATCGAGGGGAAAAAATATCGACCATTTCAGGCTTACTTTAATCTAAATGAAACTGCAATATGTCAAGGTTGATTTAATTATCTTGAAAAATAGAAAAACAAAGAAATGATGTGTTTTCGTTCGTTCATTGAGAAAAAACAATTGAGCGATTTACAATTTTCAAAAGTTTTTCCCCCAGAACGATTTCATGCATTTTGCATACATTTTTTTGCGAGCTTAATTCCCTGCCAGTCAAACCTCAACAAAGTTTCATCGGGAATCAGTGCGTTTTCACTTATTAAATATTCCATGGCGGACGAAAAAATAAAAGGAAAAGCATAGGCAAACATAGAGCGATTGATTTTTGCACTCTCTGGCGCATTGAATATTTATAAGAAACAATCAATTGTTGGTCAGTTTTCGTTTTATGCGGTATTTTTTCTCTTTTTCTATGATGCTTTGATATTCGCATTTTTTCCCCTCAGCTTGAACTCATCAAATTGATGTTTAATTATTTCGCTCGGCAGTCAAGCTTGTTCTACTATTTTTTTTTTTTTTTTGGATTTTTCGCCAAAACGGTTGATGGTCGAGTCAATCTGTGACAATCTGGTATTAGTCGCGAATTTCTCTTTGACTTTAATGCAGACTCACACACACCGAGACAGACATATGCATGGCAAATGCGGTGGAAAATCGGTTGAATAAAAATAGATGTGCCTCCGCTGTGGCCCCGGTCTAAAAAAGCCCAAAAATGACAATACACAAAACACCGAACCGAAAAGAGGAGGAAAATTTTTCAATTAAAAGCGAAAAGTGCATTTTCATGTTGCACGTCAGTTTCTCTTCCAGTTTTGTGTGGAAAATCTAGCAGAGGGAAAGAGAGAGTGTGCGGGATAAAGACACGCCACTCGACCCAAAATATTTACCCATGTTGGCGGACGGGTTGAGGTTGTGGGAGGTGAGAGCTGGGAGGTGTTCAGTGGGTGGATTATAGGTGGTGGCGTTGGCATTTCCAGCCCCACCTCGCCCCGCTGAATGCTTAAGGTAAGGTCAGGCCATAATTTAAGTTGACAAGCATGACATGGAAATTCCCTTTGGTCGGCAGTAGCAGCAGCAGCAGCCGTTACCATAATCAGGCTAAAACACATGGTCACCCCGCACTTTCCGCACTTTTACCTCACCTTCCTCCCAAGTGTGTGTGTGTGTTTGTCAGGAGCTCGAATTCCATGCGAGAGTCGCCTTGGGTGACCAATTCCTTTGAGAGCGGCGTTCCCCCGACCCGAACACACTCCAAGGACTATGGTCCTGCTCCCCTGCTGCTCCTGTTTAATTAACACATGCTCAACGAATCGTAATTTAATTGCGGCTTTGATGTCTCCCCCGAGCATGCTCTGAGTCACACAAAAATTGAAGACATTAAAACGGCAACCAGGAGCAGCTCGCCGGAAGCAAAAGAATGATCGTTACCAATTTATGGAAGCTCGTTAGGCGGAGTTCTCTTCACTTGTCACATTTCTCTTGATTAAACTTGAAATTTTGCTTGAAATTTGTAATTTGAATTGTATATTAAACAATTAAGAGTTGTCTTAAAAATGGTGCTCAAGAAAAGCAAATTAAACTATGTATGTCATATAGAAGTAATTAAAAAAATTTATCAATCGATTTGGCAACGAAATTGATTCGGGAAAAAACTCTTAAGTGTTTTTATACCCGTTACTCGTAGAGTAAAAGGGTATACTAGATTCGTTGAAAAGTATGTAACAGATAGAAGGAAGCTTTTGCGACCCTATAAAGTATATATATTCTTGATCAGGATCAATAGCGAAGTCGATTGGGCCATGTCCGTCTGTCCGTCCGTCCGTCCGTCCGTCCGTCCGTCCGTCCGTCCGTCCGTCCGTCCGTCCGTCCGTCCGTCCGTCCGTCCGTCCGTCCGTCCGTCCGTCCGTATGAACGCTGAGATCTCAGGAACTATAGCAGATACAAAGTTGAGATTAAGCATAAAGATTCCTGAGGTCCCGGGACAGCGCAAGTTTATTACAGCATCCTGCCACGCCCACTCTAACGCCCACAAATCGCAAAAAACTAAAATTGCTGAAATCTCAGGAACTATTGCAGTTAGAAAGTTGAAAATCAGAAAGTATAATCCTTAGATGACAGCGCATCTTATAGTAGTACTACTATCCGGCCGCACCCACCCATACGCCCACAAGGCTCAAAAGACGGTTTACGGATTTTCTAGAAAGCTGATATCTCGGTAACTATAAGAGATAAAAAGTTCGGATTAAGCATGTAGGTTTCTATGATGCTCCCAATGCGAATTATTTTTTTCCGATCAGCCACGCCCACTCTAACGCCCACAAAACCCGAAAAACCAAAAATGCAAAACTCTCGAAAACTATAAGAGCTAGACAATTTTGCTTAGAAACACATATTTAGAGATGCCTCTGCAACTTGCCACGAAGATGCATTTGGCCACGCCCACTCTAACGCCCACAAACCGCGGAAAACTGTGGCGTCTATAATATTAGTATGAATGCCTTTGTTTGACCTTGTATAACTTATTTCTGTTAATATCTATCGATTTACCAAAGATTTTTCAAATCGGAACATTATTTCGCTATTTATGAAGAAATTAAGGTTATAAGGCCTCACATGGGCAGTGACGTCACTATAAGCATACTCAACATACTTCCTCTGACAATAGGTGGCGCCTTGTGAATTACCACTAGGAAAATAATATTTTAAAATTTTGTAAAACAGTAACGGGTATCTTATAGTCGCGGCACTCGACTATAGCGTTTCCTCTTGTTTATTATTATATTATAATATTATTATATAATATTAAACTTAAAACAATTATATGACATAATATTTTTGGGAAGATGGGATAATTTTCAGTAATTCTACAATCAGCATATTTGTTGACCAAATTAAATTGTTGGCTTTAGGTGCAGAAAATAAAGCAAACCCTGATCAAGATCATATCGCTGATACGTTTAGATTGTTGGTTATTCCAATGTCAATGCATGCATATAAACGTGGGTGTAGTTTGCAGTCTGAACATACATGTGCGTGGTATGACCACCTACAAACCGTAATATAAGCACAGAGCAGCTTACATCTTAATTACATATCGCATATTAATACAATATTAATCATACGCCCTGTTGACATGCGTGCTCCTCCCTTGACCAAGCAGCAAACACGTGGCCCAAGTCCAGCGCATTCCTCATGCAGGGCCAACTATATATCCACAATATATATATATATATGTAAGTTCATATATATGGTATACACACACATGTGTGTGCGGGGGCGTGTGCATATCTAAGCCATTGCCAGTGTTTTGTTATGAGTGGACAAACCAACACAACAACGGCAACAACACATATGGCGTTAATAAACTTCTAGTCCCGTGCCTGAGGGTCCAACAACTGAAATGAACTCGGGGAACTTACTGGGGGGATGGGAGCTGGAGACCTGGAGAACGATAGATGGATGGGGGATGGTGGCTATAAGGATCCTGGTCGGGAGACTCCTTCTGGAAGCGTCCAGCGTACGTTGTTGGCTTGTGCTTTATGGCCGCAAGTCAATTCTCTGACAAAATGCCAAGCATATTTATTTATTTACTTTTGCTTCCAGGCAGACCAGCGAATAACGCTCCCGCTTCCACACTCACTCCTACTACCACTTCCACTCCCGCCCACAATTTCCCATCCTCACAGCTGTTTGTATTCTCGTCCACGTCCAACGCTCTCGTCTCGTTTTGCGTCACTTGCCAAGTGTTTATTCAACTTGCCCCACCGGGTATATGAAAAAACAAAATGAAGCAGAAATAACAAAGTAGAAAACAAGGATGGGGCTGCTGAAGTGTAGAGATGCAAAATTAACTCCACCAAAAATTCCTGGGCTTCTTACAGTTTCAAAAACCATAAATAGACTGTTTAACTCTTAGTTAACTAATATATATACGTTTTTCATACAAGGTTGGCTAAAATCTTTATCAGAAAATTAGATTTTCTAAATATTAATAAAATTTAGAAATATTTTAGGTTGTTCCAAGAATTCTGTGAACAAAATTTAAAAAGCCAAAGTGCTTTCCTTTCTTCCTAATTTCATAAAAATATCTTCGTAATGCCCGAAAATAGGAAGCAATTTGAAAACCACATGCACTTATTTTTAGAGCTATTGTAAACTGGCAAAAAGCAAAGTCATTTTAAGTGATACGACAAAACCTGTCCGGGGATTGTATAGACCTAAATTTCAACTCAACCATTTCAGCAATTTGGTCTCTATAACCCAACTAAAGCTGCCTGAAACTGTGAACCAATCTGCTACCCACCGACATCCAAAGCTGATGCCTTAGAGCATGTGCGTCCGTGTGTTGATGAAGATTACGTCAGCTGAAAAGTTATTGTTTTGCCCCGGCATTCAGGAAGGCAACTAAAGACAGGAACCGAGTGGGTGTGATGGGCTGGGAAGCTACCATTTATATCCATATAGTTTGTGTCCTGCATTGGGCAATAACAAAAATAACAAAAATACCAAAAACAAGAAATAAAAAAAAATAAAGAGAACAGAACTGGTCCAGGAAACGTGCGGCATTTGGGCAAACTGTCGTCTTTCATTTTCGTTTTTCGGTCGCTCGCAAATAGTTTTGGGCATGAAAATTGCGGCTGAATCGAACCAAGGATGCTGCAATCTGCCAAAAAAAAAATTTAGAGAAGCCTCTGGCCAAGCGTGAAAGTGACCAGCAGGAGAAAACCCGAAAATGAAACATTAAAAATAAATCTAAATTGTAGCTCGACAATTTTTTGTTGTTGTCTGCCTGCCTGCCAGCCCCCAATAGACAATAGAAATTCAACATTAAATTACGGACATATTCGGAGCACTGAAGGAACAAAAGTGCCACTGCTGCATATTGTGGAGTGGAAATTTTGAGATATTAAATGAATTTCCAACTAGTCCTTGGGTCCCCAGTTACAGTTGTCAAATCCTGTTCTCCAGCTCAGCCCGATCCGCCTTCTCCTGTCGTCATCCACTTTTAAAATTTTTGGGTGCATAGTTTTGGGTTATTCACATTTTTTTTTTTTAGTTTTCTCGGTCTTCTGGACCACATGGTGACATGCCAACCAGGAAGTCGATTCGATGAGGAGCTGAGTAGGAGAAAGGAGTAGGGGGCGTGGCACGCAATTAGCCAGGCTGTCAACCAAAGTGTTTTCTCTTCCTTTTTTCTCTCGCATCTCTCGGTCTTTGTGTGTCCGTTTGCATTAGAATTGCTAATTGCCAAAAGTTTTCCAGCTGCAACATTTCTTCTGCTGCTCGAATGCAATCGTTGTCGCTAACATCCCCATCAACGTCGTCATATATATATATATAATTCTCTCTCTCTCTATATATATGGACTAAAATTCCCCAAAGATGGTCTTAAAATTGAGACATCTGTTTGAGGTGAATGCTTAAAGCTGTAAAAACACTCTTTATTTTCCTTGTGAAACAAGAGGTAAAAGAAATACAAAATTCGGATTTGGCAAAAGCTTGTCCGACGACGTGGCATTCGTTTTAATTCGATTAGTCGTAATATTTTAAAGTTTTTCATTAAAGCAAAAGCCAATGCAGATGCAATTGGAAAGTTTTGCATAAGAAACGAAGGATAAATTGCCAATGCGGAGTGGCTAGTGCCACCATCCTCCAGCCGACATCCTCCGGGGAAAACCACCGAGTAGGAGACAAACTTTTCAATAGTATACCACCACTCTTCCTGTCTCCTATTCCCGGTGCTGCCAATGTCTGGCCAATTTTTGTGTGTTTTGCCAGTCAACAACTTTGTTTATTATTTTGTTTCTTTTATTCCCATTTTTTGCAACTTTATGCGGCAACTTTGGCCAAAAGAGGCGACTCTGTGGGCGTGTCACAGTTGTTAACGAAGAAGATGAAGAAGGAAAAGCGGGGTGTAGAATGGTAATATTTTCAACACAAGACTCAAACGTATACAAAGCGAGGCGAAAAGAAGTCACCGCAATGAGAAACATTTTGAGCCCGGAATGGAAATGGAAAATGACAATGGAGCTATGGAAACTTGCCATTCATTCATTACTTAAAAAGGGAGCAAAAGTCTTGTTTGGGTCTTTCGACTATAAAATACCCACTGTCGGGTTAATCCTTGAGAGCTATAAACTTTTTAATGAAATTTGGTAACGAGCTTAAAACCTTTGTTGTTACTCAGAAAACTTGGTAGGGAAGTATATTAACTACCTCCAACCAACAATAGTTTTGCTCATTAACTTAAATTTTAAGAGCTATCATTAGTTGGATATGGAAACAATTTGATGAACAAGACTTCCTATATACATTATAATATTTATATAGTATTACCCTTACACCCTTTCTAACATGTTCCCTTCTAATTTTCTCAGATGAATGTACATTGCACACGCCACAAAACAATCTACCCATGCACTTAGCAAATGCCAGGTACAAGAACTACCAAAAATTTGCGTTAAATTTGCCACAGCAATCGTTATAAAACTTTTTCCTAAAGCAACAGAACGGAGGGGTGAAAGAAAAGAAGGGGGAGGTGAAGAGGGGAAAACAAAATAAAATGAAAGGAAACTTTATTTTTACAACTAATTGGCAAACTTAAATGTAAGATTTCATTTTATTTGTGGGCCGCGACAAAGCTGTTTGAGGCTTCATTAAAAAATTACATTTTTCCAGCTGCAGGCGACAGGAATACAAAGACCCCAAAGGCAAGTTGTCTGGTCAGGGAAAAGGAAAATGGGAAAATGGGTAATGGGAAAAGGAAGAAGGCCGACGAGTCCTTGCCGAGTGATGTGGCCAAGGCAATTTATGACCAACTGGCAATGAAAATATTTGCCACATAAATAAACCGTGACAAGCTGGAAGGACACATTGACAGGCGATACACAAGGGGGTGGGGTGGACTGGTGTTGGAAGAATATAGGTGGAATCGGAGGTTATAAAGATGGGGTCGCTTACCTGGAAACTTGTACAGGGCCACCTCGTTGCAATTAATCTCAATCAGGGTGCTTGTCTCGTTGGGCAGGCCGGCGCACTGGCACATGGAGTTGAGTGGACAGGCGTAGAGGACGTCCTGCTGCTGGGAACCCAACATGGCGGCGGATCCCCTGCCTCCGGATGCGGGTGGTGGATTCCGGCCCGTATTCCTGGCCCTTCGATGACCTCCGCCATCAAATTGCCAGCAGTGCGAGGAGCTCACCAGACATGAGATCAGCACCAGGTACAGGTGCATCCTGCAATGGAAAAAAGAATGTGGTATGTGGCTCAGACAGGTGCGATCTATAGATACAATCTTATAAGCTAGTGGCCCCCACTTTGCCTTTTCATTTCAGCACGTTGGCTCACATAAATCCACCGTGTGGAGACACCTTGGCCGGGGGCATTTGTTTATTCGCTGCTGCTTTGCATAAATCACACGTTTCGAAAGCGAAAGCAAATGAAATGGCATAAAATTAACGTTAGTCCACACGCGTTGCGTTTGCACAGTGTCACCAAAAAAATAAAATGTTTTAGATGTAAAAGTTTAGTTAAGAACCATCCAGTCATCAGTACATTTAATTGCATTCGAATACCTTAAGTCCGCATATCTTAATATTCGTGATATGAAAATACAAACTACATCATTCCTTATCCTCCAATTTAAGAACATATATTTTAAATACGAAATTTAGTGCGTCTTGTTTGACTTCCTGGAACAAGCAAGTTTTAATTGAATTTGAAAACCATTTATACCCCTCATAACAATTTCCAGAAACGTGCGAATCGTTAAGTTCTTCAAAATCTTGGTTGCAAGACCGACGGGTAAAAAACAATTAACTTGATTTAATTGTTTTCGTAATACTTTTGAACCAATGTTGATATTTTGGCTTAAGCGAACACCCCTCCATCGCGCCAAACAACGCCAAACGACAACGGAGGAAGTTTTCGACTAAAAGCCTGCGACAACTCATGCAAATGAGCCGCAGTCGTGTGACACAGTCCTCCCAGCCCTCCCTGTCATCCATCGCCATGCAATCTTTCATAGCCATGGAAATGCCTAGCCTTAAAAAGAAAAACAGCACTGGGAAAAGTTTTTAAAATCAAAAAAGGAATTACATTTAAAAACCTATAAAAAGGTATATGAGATGCATAGAGATGCTTTCTTCAAATGAGACTTACTAGCCAGGTATTTTGAGTATATATTTATTAATTTTAATAATTTTTTAAATTAGATACATCCCATTTTGTTCTCTGCATGGATGAAAGCTAGAAGAAAGTGCGCAACCACAACACGTAGAGGCCTCAACAGCCGCAGAGAAGTCGCATATAAAACATGTTTCATGTACGCTAGATGTGTGATGTTTATTTGACACGCCAAAGTATATAATAACAAATAAAAACTTTCGGCTCCGCCATGGAGCCTTACCATACCAGACGCCCGCGACAAGGACGAGTACGGGCCATTAGCACGATTGTTGAGCTTTAAGACTCCCGACGGTTTACCTTGAGTGTGCCGGTGTGTGTATGAGTTTGGGTACCTGCGCACATTACGACCAGCCATAAAACTAGGGCCAACAAAAAAAACGAAAAAAATAGAGCAGAGAACCGGCTGACTGGCACTCAATCCCTATTCCGTTCGCCTAAGTCTGTAAGTTATTTCCAGCCAGCTCAAAGCTTCGGGATAAGTCATATATATTTTATACATAATGAAATATGGCCAAAAGTATGTGATGTGGGATCCCTGGATAACAGAAATTATTCGGCTTAAGTCTGAGATTGGCTTGAAAGGCGAGTATACCATAAAACTCAGAAATTTACTAGAAAAATCATAATAGTTTAATTTTAGCCTGAAACGGGAAATTTTGTATGTTAATTCCCTTACTAAACTAAGGCTCCCAAATACTTTTTGTACTATAAAAATCTAAAAAATATTTAATTTTGCTTCAACATTTCGAAAACTAACTACACGCTCTATACAAAATAAGTCGAATTTCATATAGCTTTGGAAATTCTAAGCAGTATAAGGTAGGTAAAATCTTTCCTTAGCGTACATTTTCGTAATGAAACCAATCAGATAAATATGCAATTTGGAAGCTCCTTGCCATCCATCTTCCGTTTCTGTTTCAATTTAATAAATATATTCTAATTTAATAAATCTAATCTTGTCTGGCAAATCGCCAACTGTTTACTTAATCTTCTGACTGTCATTTGCCATATGCACTTAACATTAAATTCCATCCAGAGCCATATGGAGAGGGAAAACCAATCAGAAAAGCTTCAGTTTGCCGCCCGGCACTTTTGCTGATTGTTTTTCATTACGCTGATGGTGACAAATCGAAGTCTTTCTCCCTCGCTTGGACCATGTAAAACAAATGATACATCACACAGTTGAGTGCGTATATATAAGTAGTATCAACCTTTATGCACCTTTCGTAGTCACATACACAGATACACGAATATATATACGACATATCAAACAGGGACAAAGTCGAAGAAGTCAGGATGTTGGACGACGGGAGGCAGAATAAAAACGAAAAAGATAAATATGTCGTAAAAGTTTTTTATTTGCGTTTTATTTTTTTTGATACAGAAAATGACTAACTTGTTGGCTGACAGACAAGCAGCAAACAGGCATCGCTTTGGGCCAAGACCAACTGAGGGTCAAAGATGGAGTCGGCCAAGTGGGATGTTGGGCGGTGGGTGACTTTGGCTAGAGGAAGCCAAGAGCAACGTCTGTCACGCACACACGCCTCATTCCGCCCAAGCTGGACCCGGCAGATGCGGGCATTGCTTCCATCTGACCCTCAATCTTGCAGGACAAAACTTTTTAAAAACAAGCAAGCGAAATTGTTGGACAGAAAGTGCGAAAAGTTCACTGAATAATGGATACTCTTTTAAGATGAAAAACAAAATAAAATTAATAATTAAACAATGATATTCACTTAACAAAACTGGAATGATTTATATTATTATATTATATATATATAAATATTTATTTTATATATATCTCATTATCTCATCTCAAAAGTTACTAACCAACTTTGTCTACATTTTTCATAATAACTTTAATTTCTCACACCAGTTTGTTTTCAGCTGATTATTCATTCATGTGCGAATTCCCGTAAAATATCTGATACCCTTTTCGGCACTTTAAGAGCAGGCCAAAGAGCAAACTATACAATAAAGTGACAACCCCCCACAAGCACTCCCCATTTTGCTGGGAAATCCTTTGCTGCCATCATCTTCCTTTGAGGAGAAGGACGAACGCCGGGAAAAGGTCAACAAGAGGCAGGCTACCAGGCGGGTAGACCGCAAGTTTTTATTACGCATATAATGCCAGCGATTTGCCCAAAGGAGTGTGCGGGTGGGAGAACAAAGTGGGCGTGGCAGTGGTGGATAGCAGAGGTCTGCATCATTTTTATACTTTTAATTTTTTATGCCGGTGACACAGTGACATGAAATGTCAACGAGCTGCAAAACAAACAGCAGCAGGAGCAACAGCAGCAAGAAAGTCCTGGACAAGGACCAGGATAAATATGATGAGCGTCCGTTGGGGATGATGTCCTGCTAGTTGACGCCAACTGCGACGCCAACGCCAACGCCTACTGCGCAGCGCAGCATGAAAAATGCTGAAAAACGTAGCATACGTTTGGGAGTCGTTGGCTCGCAGTTTCTCCGCTCGTTTCGCTTCGCTCTATCTCTGTCGAAAATTTGCGAGTTTGTGCGATAATAACATATGTAAGTTGCCTCCCCACACACAGAGCATGCATATGCGAGCATGTCGGTTTTAAACTCAGCCCCATAAGCTGCTTCCATTTATGCGACTCCTGGTTTTGCTGTTGTAGGAGGCCAAAGCTTTTCCACATTTCCCGCAAAAAAACTTTAAAAAAATTATGATTTTAAAGCCGTCGCTCAGACGGGGATCAGAACTTTAAATGAACTTAACAAACTGTGAGCGTGTACTTAACGCAGCCAAACATGAAAAAGGTTCTTGGGTGCGCGATTACGTGCCAGCGGAGGTGTGTCCCTAGTATATGCAAGCATGTGCCCTATACTATATATAATATCCTCAAGATACATTACAGTTAATCGGCGTCAAGTCAATTAAGGATACGACGAACTTTGCCCGGGCCCTTTCTGGCACAAGTACTTTAAGGAAATGGCTGAGTTATTATACCCTGGCAAAGGGTATTATTATTTTCCACAAGTTTGAGTATCTGAACTTCGACCTTATAAAGCTTACAAACTAACCATATATAATCTCGTTTGTCTATATTTGGATAACCTAAGTGAAGCTCCCTCCGTGATATATTCGTTAGTTCTGATATCCATATCCTTTCACCCAAATATGCTTTTACCAATTTCTTCGTATGTAGCCCTCCATCCATCCATTCAACTAGCATGGATTTGCTGGCAAACGTCTAAGGCCATTTCTTGGCCATATCTCACACCTTGACAGATGCAAAACGATCCATCTTCGGCATTGAACCTGCACATATGCAATGGGTCTTATGAAACCATTAGCAGAACGGCGCAAACTTTAAGATACATTCATCTTGCAAGGCATTTTAAAAAGAAACTTAGTACCAAAACTGGTTTGGCTCGGCACCGATTGCTTGGCCATATAAATCACACCCTAGAACAGACACAAACTCACAATACATCCACATCCACATCCACAGTTTAGCCAGTTCATTCAAGTGTCGTTTATCGCTTTTGCTATTTTGGCAGCGCCTTCCGTAAAACTGCTCCTGGTCATAAATATGCCAATTTGGCAGAGCGACCCTTAACGCCCCCTTCTCCTTTAACAAGGTGATTTCCCGGTACTCGAGCTAACCGAAAAAACGCACCCAGCCAGCCAGCCAGTCAGCCATTCAGTCAGTCAGTCAACCAGAGTCAGTCAGAACAATAAAAATAAAATTTATTACTCAAAGTTTATGGCATAGCAATAAATGTATCTTTTCTGCTGAGTATCCCAGTATCTGTATCCATAAATATGCACCCATTCGCACCTAAGTGCGGCGTGCAGGGGTGCCACATGTGGCGCACGGACCCACACCCACCCAAACTTCACCAAATTATTATGTTGCTACGAACCCAAGACCCCAAAACCCATTCCACTTTCCATCCAGAGCACAACCCTTGATTCAAATCCCATAAAGTTGTCGAGTGGCTGTTGCTGTGATAGTTCCTACTCCTGGCCATTTCATGTTGGTCGGAGCTGTTTGGCAATTGCCGCATCATTAATCTTACT